CATCTCCATTTTTCAATGGCAACTCCAGAGCCATCGATCATCCAGCTTCAGTCTCAAGTCATCACAGTTAAACTCAATGACAACAACTATCTAGTATGAATACAACAAGTCCAAGCAGCTATCAAAGGATATGGTTTAGAGAAACATATCTTAGATGGAGATCCCCCTCAAGAGAGCTTATCAAGCCCTGAAGGAACAATAACACCAAATCCAGCCTACCCTCTATGGATGAGACAAGATCAGCTCATTGTTTCATGGCTGCTCTCTTCCCTCTCTGAAAGCACTCTCATATCCACTATTGGTCTGGAAACGGCCTTTGAGATCTGGGACAGTTTGGAAACTTCCTTTGCAAGTCAATCTCGAGCTAAGATAATGCAATACAAAATTCAGCTCCAGAACCTTAAGAAAGTAGGTATGAGTATGATGGAGTATTTAAACAAAATGAAAGCATGTTGTGATGGTTTAGCAGCTGTTGGGCAAAGACTCACAGAAGAAGAACAAATCACTCATATGTTAGCTGGGTTAGGAAGTGAATACAACCCTGTTATGGTCTCCATTGGAGCGAGAGTTGAACCATGCAGACTAAGAGAGATACATGCACTTTTTTGAGTTTTGAGAGCAGGCTAGAAACCTTTGAAGTGCCACAATTAGGAGCTGATGGTACAAGCCCTATGGTGAACTTCACTACCACAAACCCAACAGCAAGAAGAGGGGGCTTCAACAACTTCAGAGGAAGAAACAACAACACCTACAGGCAAAGAGGAGGAAGAACAGGCTATGGCAGGTCAGGACCTTTTAGAGGAAGAGGGGGTCGACCCAACTTCAAACCAAGATGCCAAATCTGTCATTTGGTAAACCACACCGCTGACAAGTGTTGGTACAGAATGGACATGAACTTTGTACCTGAAAACAGAAATAATTATGTTCAAGGATACCCCTCCCAAGGGCAGCCCTCTTTCCCATCTCAAAACAAAACTGCAAATGTTGCTAGCATGACTCCCTTTGAACAGAACCCAGACACCTTTTGGTTCCCTGACTCTGGAGCAACCAATCACTTAACATATGACATGGAAAATCTCAGCATGGAAAGTAAGTACACAGGAGGAGAGAGAGTCCACATGGGCAATGGTTCAGGTTTGAACATCTCACATATTGGCACTTCAATAATTAAATCTTCCAATTCTGAAAGACAACATTTAGTTCTCAAAAATCTCATGTTTGTCCCTCAAATAGCCAAAAACCTCATTAGTGTCTGCCAATTTTCAAAAGATAATGCTGTTTATTTTGAATTTCACCCTGATTCATGCTTTGTGAAGGATCTGGAAACAGGAGCACTTCTTCTTCAAGGGACAGTTAAAGATGGCTTGTACTGCTTCAACCTGTCAACACTTAATTCCTCTCCAACCCCATAACTCATCTTCTTCAAATAAGAATTTCCCTTTCCCTTTTTCTCCAACAGCTTGTTCTGCTGTTATTAAAAAAAAAAAAAAAAAAATTTTTTGAAACTGTGGTTTGCTAGATTAGGCCATGCTGCTATTGAGATTGTAAAGAGAGCCTTAAACTCTTCTCAGATTCCTTATGAAATTAATGCAGATTCTACTATTTGTTCCTCTGTCAAATGGCAAAAAGTCATAGATTACCATTTACTGATTCCAGCACCATATACTCAGAACCCTTTGATATTATTTATACTGATTTATGGGGACCTGCCCCAATCAAGTCACTTTGTGGTTACTCTTACTATATTAGTTTTGTTGATCACCACACAAGGCGCACTTGGATGTATTGACTTAAGTCTAAAACTGATGTTGTTCCTGTTTTCCACCACTTCTTTAAACTCATACAGACACAATATAACAAAAAAATTAAATGCATTCAAAGTGATAGTGGTACAGAATTTAAACCACTCTCTCAGTTCCTTCAACAACAAGGCACTATTCACAGACTTTCTTACCCCTACACTCCCCAACAAAATGGCCTTGTTGAGAAAAAACATAAGCACATTGTTGAAACTGGAATCTCCTTACTAGCTACTGCATGTATGCCTTACTCCTATTGGGATCATGCCTTCACTGCAGCTGTTCACATCATTAATAAACTTCCCTAAAAAATCCTTCACTACAAATCTCCAATTGAGCTGTTGACAGGTTCCAAGCCACTTTACACCTACCTTAAAGTTTTTGAATGCTTATGTTACCCCTACACTAGACCTTTAAATAAACATAAGCTTGAATATAGGTCTCAACCTAGTACATTTCTAGGATACAGTACCTCCCACAAAGGATACAAAACCCTCCTTCCTAACCAGAAGATTATTGTTTCAAGACATGTTGTCTTTGATGAAACTATTTTTCCCTTCTCAAAACAACCACACATCCTTGAACCTTCAACATCTTCTACCCCCAGTCCAAATGTTTTACCCTTACTAAATCCCACTATTCTACCACACAATACTCCCATACATAACAATAACCCTCCATCATCCCCAACTCCATCTCCCATTAACAACACACCACCTTCATCTAGTACTTCATCCTCATCCTCATCCTCATCCTCCAACAACTCCTCAACATCTCCCATCCAAATTCAGAATGGAAGATTAATTATTGATTTACCATTTGTGAATGTTCCTACTAACCCACAGGTCCACGATCACAATCAGCCAACACACCACATGACAACCAGATCTAAGGTTGGAACTTTTAAAAGAAAAGTGTTCATGGATGTGACTTCATCAGAACCCTCATCTTACAAGCAAGCCCTAGAACTCCCTCAATGGAAGTCAGCAATGGACAAAGAGGTTCAAGCTCTTCATTTCAATCATACTTGGGATCTAGCAGTCTTACCAAAAGATGCCAAACCCATAGGCTGTAAATGGGTCTTCAAGCTTAAAACTAACAGTGATGGTTCTATCTCCAAACACAAAGCTCGGCTTGTAGCCAAAGGCTTCTCACAAGAACTTGGAGTTGACTACAATGACACTTTTAGCCCAGTTATCAAACCAACAACTATTAGAGTGCTTTTATCTCTGGTAACTTCCAATTCCTGGCCTATAAGGCAATTAGACATTGATAATGCATTCCTTTATGGTGACATTGACAAGGAAATTTACATGGAGCAGCCTCCAGGTTATGCCACAACATCTCCTTCAGGTGCTAAACTTTTTTGTAAACTCAACAAATCACTTTATGGATTGAAACAAGCATCAAGAGTTTGGAACTCTAAGCTAGCCTCTACACTCACTTCTCTTGGATATACACTCATCACAGGATCATCTCCTCTGGTCATTCACAATACAATCCAATCTTTACACCTCCATTTCTCTCTGTATGATTTAGGTGACCTACACTACTTTCTAGGTATTGAATTCACCAAGACAAGAGATGGCTTACACCTTAGCCAAAAGAAATACATTTCCACTCTTCTTCAGAAACTTCAAATGCTGCAAGCTAAGGGCACACCTTCCCCCATGATCAGTCATCCTCACCTTTCAAAATATGATGACCAACCACTTGAAAATGCTACACTTTACAGGAGCATCATTGGTGCCTTGCAATATGCCACCTTTACTCGACCAGACATTGCATTTAGTGTCAACAAATTGAGCCAATACATGCAAACCCCTCTCACAACTCACTGGAAAGCCCTTAAGAGGGTACTTAGGTATCTTGCAGGGTCTCTTGATAACACATTCACCATTTCTCAATCCCCAAACACTCAACTCATTACCTTTACCGATGCTGACTGGGCAAATGATATAGACGACAGAAAACCAATAAGTGGCTACTGTGTCTTCTTAGGCAAAACCCTCATCGCCTGGAGTTCAAAAAAACAGCCTACAATATCAAGGTCCAGCACTGAAGTGGAACTAAGAAGTCTA